AAGTCCACAAGTCTTAAAGTTGCCAAGGTTGGACACCCCTGGTCTAGACTATTCAACGTTGTTCTTGTATTGAGCCTGGCAGTTTTTATTCTTGCTGTTATGCTGGATCAGTCTGGAAACTTCCTTCTCAAACGTGGAAATCCTTAGGTGACTTTGATTCAGTCACTCTATTCTCACAAGCCTAGAACTACCTTCAGGTTTTGGAAAGTTCATATATGAAGCTCAGGTTTTTTTGACATTATTTTATTGATTTTTAATTTTTCCACTACAAGATAGCTGACCTTCGTTATCTTTACGCACCCGCAGTAGAGTTAGGCCTATTTCAGGAAATACTCAGTTTAAGCAGCTGTAGGGAAATAGTCGAGACCTCTAGAACTCCTGGTTGTACCATACCCAAGGAAGTCTGGTGTCCTCAAGAAAGAAAGTTTGAGAATTACTGAAATGGTTCATAAGGACTACCAGATATATTTAGAAAGCAGAAGCTGACTCCCCTACCCCATTCTTTTACTCAGTTTTGAACATTTCTGCCTTTATGATCCTCTACAGATTTGGTTATTCAGCTTTAATTGAAGTTGGGGCACTCAGCTTGAGCCTATGCCTCAGTCTGTTCAGTGGTCTGCTTACAGGTCTGTATCACAAAACCGCTTCACTGTCCGTAGAACATCAATAACAAGTGTTTTATTGGGTCTGCTATTGTCCTCCAAGATTGTCCAACTTTTAGGAGACAAATCAGTTCTCTAAAACTTGAATTAAAATCTGAATTCAGTGAAGGTAACTTAGATCAGATTCTTTCTGATTAAAGGACTTGGGATTTCTTGGAAATTCAATTTCTAAGAAGTTTGTCAGATGTGGTGGCAGAGATTAAAATTACTCCCATCCTATACTGGTTACTATCCAGCTGATAGATTTCTTAAACGTTTTCACCATCCCTTATGATGAGGACAAGAAAGCTGGAGGTTTTAAAAAGTAGGATAGTTCATAAACCAAGTTTTGCACAACTGGAAATTTGTCTAGGGATCCCAGCAAACATATGGTTATTTTATGTTTCAAATCCTGCCGTACATTTACAGACCCTTATCTGTATTTTGGCAAAAATCATGTTTCTAAGTCTAAAAGGATATTGTAGTTAAAAAATGGCTAGGGGAATGTTGTGGCACTATAGTCTAGTTTTGTTTAAATTCAATTAAAAGTAAATTACATATAATTATCTACAGTGTATTTTAATCATTTTCCATCCTGTTACAGGAGTAAATGTATATCGATGGCAACTTTTGGCAGGATCTGGGAGTCTCCAGTGTCCATGGATTAGAAAACACTTTGGGGGGAAAAGAACTACAGTTCAAATTTGGAAAAAGGGGGAAAACCAGATGAAGCAAGGCTCACTTGGGAAGATTGGACATATAGAATTAGATGGAAGCTAAGACCCAAAATGCAGCGATTTGGCTGGGTATCATTAACAGGGATAAACTGTAGAAACTTTCTGCAGTTGTTCAGATTTTGAATGCAGATCTGGTTTCAATTTATTTTTTAGGTCTCATTTTAACTTGCAAATTATGGAAAACACCTCCTGTAACAAAGTACTTCGATGATCAAGTTTATTGGGAGGTAGGATTATATTTTATAGTTTTGTGTCTTGTAAAGATTGGGACTCAGGTCAGCTTTACATAAAGATCTTTTTCCTTTTGCTTCTTGGCAGCAGGGTTACACTGAGCTGAATGTCTTAGGATTTGAACTATTTTAACTCATACATTGTTCTTCAACTAAAGCCAGGAAAAAAGAAATAAAGTCCCAGTATGTCTAGATCTAATTCATTCAATGGACAGTAGTGTTTGATTTTGGCTTAATGCATTATGAGATTCAATCAATAATCACAGTCAAGCAAACCATACAGATCATACTGAATGCTACCATATTAAAAAGTTCAGAACCAAAACTTTCTCACTGATGAATACATGAATATGTAATATGAATGTATTATAACCACCCTACTTGTTTCTCACTTTTTTGGCTATCTCAAATCAGATCCCACATGAATGTAATTTGCCTGATTTGGTGTTAATGTGTTGTGGAACCCTAGTATTTTCATTTGTAAGCTACTGTATGCTTATGGCTAACCATGTGAATTAGCCACGTGGGGGGTTCACTAACTTTAGTTAAGCAAGCATGACTTGTATATCTCTCACAATTTTCCAGAACGAACTCTCCACTATGTATAAACCCATCCTAATTAGTTGCATTTAAGAGTGCATTACTGAGCTAGAAAACAATATTTTAAAAAAATATTTTTTTTATATCTAGTTCCCCCACTTAGCTGCTGGATTCTGAACACCATCTTCAGGAGGGCACCAAGTTACACAGCTAAGAGACTTTCTCCTTGATGCAACAAGAATGCATGAAAAAGAGACTTATTTACTTTATTAAATTTACCAGAATATTTGGTAAGCATTTAGTATAAAATACTTGCTTGTAATGCTAAAATGAATATATGCCAAGTGTTTCTTTAAAAAATGTTCCTTTATATTCTAGGCTTTTAAAATGCTTAGATAATGCAAGTGGAAAGTGAAGATTAAATATTATATATGAAACAGAGTCCAATCATATCACTCTGTGTTTATATACAGTGTTTTTCACAGTCATAGAGTTCAAGCATTACTCTTAAGCCAGGGGTGTCAAACTCAAGTGATGTCAAGCTGGCCAAGCCCACCCCAGCCCCCTGAGGTCAAACACAACCCTGATGCAGACCTCAATGAAATCAAGTTTGACACCCCTGCTCTAAGCCATCATATGGTTTGGTTCAGCATCCTGTGTCAAGAGTGCTTTGATTACAAAAAAAAAAATTAAACCAGTGGACAAACCAGACTACTGATTCCTTTCCACAACTGAGAAATGATTTCCCTGCAAAGTCAGAAGGTTGCACAGGGCATTTCTTATACAGCCTTCTGCAAATAGCACTTCGCGAATATGCTAGAAAATGACACTGTGCAGGGAAGACAAGGTGTGTATTTGAGGAAAAAGCTAGTCTTCCATTATCAATATAATTCAAAAATGTTGCAAGAAACTGCAAGAAGTCGCATTAGAAATACAATAAGAGTATATTTCTATTACATTTTATACACATAAGTAATAACCTTCATATACAAGCATTCCACAAAACACTGTCAGTCAAATATTTCACATTAAAAAAAACAACAGCACTTATACCCCCGAATAAAGGAACAGTAAGAGATACAGTAATATTAAGATATAACAAAAACATTCAGTAAGAGGACAGTACGAGTTTCTCTTCCATCTCAGCTTAATCACAGGCTACAATATTTAATGTCAAAAAGCCAAGAGTAGAAAAGTCTCAAGTTGAAAGGAATAAAAATGGAAATGTGTATCATGATTTTACAATGTGGAGAGTTTTCTTTTTTGCTGATAGCAGAGCACTAATAATACAAAAAGGGAGTTAAAAATAGTAGGTGAGATGCTCCGTGTCACTTATTGCCACAAATCCTCAGTGCGGCCAAATTTAAACACCAGACCGCTGTTGGAAAGAAAGACAAATTATTAGCTACATGGATGTCAGGACCCTCATATTAAAAAGAGCAGAACAGAAACTATTTCCTTCAATCACAGATTAATATAGCACCTGTCATTTCGATAATTACCTTCGACTGCTTTGCTGTGCCACTACTAATATACTATTCATACTTAACCTCAACCTCAGCACTTTAGGTTTCTCAACCTCAGCACTTTAGATGTGTGAACTTCAACTCCCAGAATTTCCCAGTGTGCTTGGTGGGGAATTCTGGGAGTCGAAGTCCAAGCATCTTAAAGATGATGAGATGGAGAAACACTGCTTTGTAGGCAAAAAGATTCCATAAGGCAGGGGGTGTCAAACTCATGTCATCACAGCGTCACGTGACATATCATTTTTCTCCCCTTCACTAAACCAGGCATGGGCATGGCCAACGCGTGACACATCTGGCCTGCGGGCTATGAGTTTGACAGCCTTACCATAAGGGAATGTTTTGATTGCTGAAAAGGCAATCCAGTGTGGGAAGGAAATAAGAAAAGCCAGAAAAGAGGCCATGATGGTAAACGTACATTACACAGATAAACTTTCCCCATTTTATGGCCTACATTGACTGGCAGTAATCCCCTCCTCGTTTTTCTCCCAAAAAAGAAACATGTCATCCAAAAGCTTGTTATTCCTCCCTCAAGTGTATTGAATCCATATCACAACACCTGAATGCAGCCAAAAGTATATTTAAGAATGCATATTAGTAAATGACTAGTTTCATACTGCCAATCCCTAAAGTGGTTTCTTCACTTCTGACTTAATACCTTCTGGGAATAAGGCAAAAATTTGAACTAAGCCATAGGTCATTGTAAAAATGAACGACCTATGGCTTAGTTAGTATGATGTGTAAGGCAAATAAGTGCAACTTTCAGAGAGCTTGGTCCTTCTCAGATAATCGAGCTGTTAGAATAGAAATTTAAAGAGAAAAAGGCCCTGAAATCAAAACTTTGCTGCTCAAATGAGACACAATCAAAATTAGTGTAAGGAAAATTTGAAACCTGCACACTTTACAGCATGCTCAGTCCCACTGTGTGTTTTTTTTGATGTTACAATAAGACCCATACGACTTTTGTTTAGGAGTTAGAAAACTGCAGATCAGAAGTAGGGTCATTAAAAAATTATTTATAAAGACAAGGAAACGAAAATTTAAAGTCACATCATACAGCCAGCCTCAATCCCCTCCCCAACTGTGTTTCTAAATGCTATCTATAGTGTCAATAATTTGTATTGTTTCTTTTTGCTATGGCTTACAGGTGTTTCACTATATAAAATATATCTGAAATATGGACATGCAGCAGAGTTAGTAAAATAGCAAGTTTAGTGTGTGCTTGTAAAAAAGCTTATATTATTAGCATAAATGTCTCTCTCATTTCTTCATTTTCAAAATCAAGTATCACCCCCATTTCTTTAGACAACTAAGGATTTCTTAGGTATATAAGCTATCCTTATCTTGAAAAAGTCGAGGAAAAAATAAAGAGGTACAGCCTTGTCCTGAATCAGATTGAATATTTTTATAGATGCAGGATGCAAGGGGTAACCTAAGCTTTTATTTTATTAATATATCTTTGAATGAAAATATGTTCTTAGTGTAACTTCGGAAAAACTTTAATTAATCAGATTCTGTTGCTGGTTCTTGTTTGATAGTGTTATTTGATTTGTTTAGTTATGCTTTTATACTTTTATTGGGTAAAGATTTATATTTACTGCCCATCTCTGACATTACATTTTTAACTAGGGTGGTTGTTATGTATCTCAATAAAAGGCACTCTATAAATACATTTTTATGATTAGTTTTGTTGGCTCAGTAAGCATTTTATTTTAATTGGCATAAAAGAGAACGATGATATACATACCCCAAATATTTTAAAGCATTCTAATTTTATAAGTTTTATGGTAATGCTCCCACATATCACAGCTAAAATTTATATCACTAATATAAATTGGTTCATTTTTACCACTGCCTCTAATCTTTTTTAACAACCACTTACTCAGGGCTTCCAAAAATATCCAGGTCGATATATATAATAGTTTATCATACTAGATAATAGATGAGCATAATAATGTACATAATAAATCCAAATAAAGAATGGAAAGCATTCTTACCCGAAGAAAATAAAAGCATTTTGAAAGAAGACTGCTATTCCTGGATAAACAGGCGGTTTGTCTTGTTTGTCTGTGGAAAAAAAGAATTATTTTATCAAATTCCTGAAGCTTATTATTAGCATCTTCCCACACCAGTGTACTTTATTTTCTCAATGCTAAAAGCATTAATAGATGGCTTCTGATGCTGCCACTTTTATCAGAATTTGGCAAACAGTTTTTAGGAATGTATCTAAGTTTATTTATGAATTTACTTGCAAAATTTGACACTGTTTTTCTATCATGACAATCTTTTGCTGGCTTTTTAATTGACAAAATTAAAATATTGTTTAAGGCATTCTATTTCAAACTTCAGTAATTACACACCGAAAAACAAACCAGCAACTACAAGTTGAAAAGGAAGAAAGATGGAATATAAATAAATTTCCTCGAAGTAAATCTCATTCTGCTAGGGAAGATAACTCTGTAAATATGCCTATGATCACATTCTAAAGAATATATTTCTTATATACAATAGTTTCTACAAAGATGTTAAGGATCAGCTTTCACAACTCAGGATTCTCTGAAGCCATGTTCATATAACATATTAATGCACAATATGATTTGTGCATATTTAAAACTCAGCCCATTGTGATATGCTATAAATATATTAGATTTTGTGTCTGTGTGAACATAGCCTAAAATTTTTAAAGAAAAAGACAGTGGTAAGTAAAACTGTACTGAGCTTCAGGAAAGAACTATCTTTATAAAAGAGAAGAGCTTTTTACAATGCCGTGATTTCTTATTTCCAGTGGAATTTTGGAAGAGCTTCACACAGAGAAAAAAGATACAGTCCTTTTCCATAGAAGACTACAATTCAACAATATTTCACATGCAGTTTTCTTACCATTAATAACATATCCTCCAAAGAGAATCCACATTGATGCAATCAGAGATCCAAATGCCAACATAAAACCGATAAACAGCCAGATACGAGCACCTTAATGTACACAAAGATAACCACATTATTTTCAAAATAAACAAGTTCAACATTCTTTCATTCATGACACAAACAGATTTCCTTCCTTGTATGGTAACACCTGTAGAATGTTAGGAATATTCTATGATCAAAACTGTAAAATGTATTCCCCCCGCCAATGTACAAATGTAGTACATTATGTTTTCAAACACATCCCTTTAGGAAAAGCATTTTTCATTGCATCTCCTTAAAAGCATATTTTGAGAATCTAATGCTGGGCTGGGAAGGTCTATCTCCAATCTTCTGCATAACCAAAATGGCTTTGTAACGATATAGGTAGCCTAAGAGTTAATTATTGAAACTCATTTTAAAAATAATTCTCCCAGAAGTGGTAGGAACAAAACTGTGGTCTAAGTCAATTAGCATGGCATATAAATGGCTAAGACAGGAGAATTGGGCATCAAAATATATATGTGAAGATAAAATGGCAGATACATTATTTCAAAATGTAACAGAATTTTCTCAGTAAAATTAGGAATATTATATTTTAACTTACTAAATGAACAGAATAAAGGAGAATTATTTCTCACCCATGACAAAAATGATTTTGTAAATAGATGGGAATGAGGATGTACGTATTTTTTAAAAAAATTAGCTTTCTTTCCATTGTGATATAAATAATGAGAGGAATAATATGTTTACCTGTTTGCCCAAGACACCCTTCACTGTAACTGTCCCCACGCACCTGACCATTGGAGACGGCATTGATCCTACACAAACAACAGAATGGAATTTGGCATGAGCGTTGAGAATTCAGCAACTGATGACATAGTGAAGTGTTTGAAATATTCATTAACTTTGCATTATATTGTTGCCTTTCTTGCAGTAACAGCATGAGGCAGACCAAAATGATTATCCCTATGTTGCAAAAGGAAGAAGGGTGAAGGCAAAAACTTGCTAGTGCCATCTAGCATTTTCATGACACAAGTCAGCCTTCAGACACTTCTGAGCCTAATTTTTCACTACTATGGCAATGTGGTCCCTAATGAGGAATTTTCATGTGAAACTGGGACAACTTATGGGCAATATGTAGTCTTCCAGATATTCTAGCTAAACCCCAAGCAATCTCAGCCTATTTCCCATAAAAGTTATTTACACAAAGGTAGCTACCGGTATATCTCATACCAAAATAAACCTAGGGCTTGGTTAAACTGAGCATTTCATTTATTCAGTCTGATTAAATTACAGAATATTCAATTAGATGCTGAATATCAGGCATTAGATTTGAACACATATTTCAACACAAATTCTAAAGAAACATTTCTAACATTGGGATGGAAATGTTACCTACATTAGGAATGCAACTGTAGCTATAACTCCACAAGCATGGTATGAATGGTTGAACTCTGCTGAACCTGGATATTTGACAGCTGCATCTATTATAATCCACCACCCTGTAAAAAACTGAACACATTTCTATTATCAGCATCATCAACACAATGCTTATCTTTTATCACTACTCTCACAGACATTAAAATAACAATATTTCAGAGACAATGAGAAAAGATTACAATAAACATGAACACTTTGTTGGCCCCAAGAAACAATGCTTTTATAGAAGAATATTAAAAGGTAAGCTGCATTCTAAATTTGCTGAATTAGATCAATAC